TGGCATTATCTTATTTGATATCATGCAACTTTGATAATTTTTTAAACAATAATTTTTAGTAAAAATAGAACATATTGCACATGTCTGTACCAAGAAAATTTATACCTTCCAAATTATGGAGAAAAAAATATGGGTTCTAAGTTGAATATAGCCCAAAAGATACTGACATTAAAAAAAATCTAAAATTGTCAGCTTATATCATATTAAAAGCCATTTAATTATTTTTTTAATTTTTGAAATCGGTGAAATCGGACTATAAATAAAAATTCTACAGCGCCTGACGTTTTTTTTTAAATCACTCTGTATAAAAACTTAAAAAAAGTAAACTTCGAAATTGATTTAGATGCCTTTGAAGAGGTGCCGGGGGTGTGGTGGCGCAGCGGCAATTCTAATAAAGATGATTTTTTGTTTTTTCTAAAATGTTTCAAGTAATTCAATATTTCTTGAAAAATGACGTTTTCCTAGTCCTGGGGGAGTAAAATCTCGAAAAAGTGCACAAAATGTGAAAAACAAACTTTGTTTACACACTAAACGAGCAAAAATTTGAACCAGTGTAAAAATAAATCGCGTGATTGGGAAATAATCGCTGTCATCTTTGTACCACGCGTCCTAGTGGTGTCATCCACCGACCCCGACCTTCATTTCCGACACCTCCTGTATAATGTCAAGGTTGTCAATTGAGGGAAATTTGTGAAAATAGAAAAAATAAGGGTTGGAAATTGGGTGAAATGGTGAGAAATGTGCCCAAAAATGGGCCCTCGTTGACCTCTAAATCATCGTCGGGACAAGCCGGTCGTCCCCCCGACACATCGTACGATAGTACTTCATTCACGCGATTTGCTGGAATCTAGTCAGTCTTGGAACGGCTTTCATCGTATCACCAATCGGAATACTCTTATCACTAGTTTCTTATCATTGTGATATTAAACGCGAGATCGCATCTCAAGTGGTGCAGTGCACTAGTGAACGTGAAATAGTGAAGGTAAAAAATTCTAAAATTCCGGTTGTGGTTGTACACGTGTGTAAAACTGTTAAATTTTTCATAAAAGGCAAGGTCAATGCATTCGAAATATGCGGTCTATTTTTATTTTATTTTTCTTTTCAAGTTTCACCGAAATTAGAAAGTGGACAAGTGAAAATTTCATATCCTGAAAATATATTTTGCAATTATTGTTTAATTCAGGTCAAATATTAATTATTTATAGCTGAGGTTACGATTTTTCGATGGTATTACTATGCGATTTTTTTCACAAACTCAAGTGCAAAAACGAATCACTATTTTTGTAACACAAGTTGTGAATTACTGACGTTATTGTAATTTTTCTTGGTCAAATGGGACTTTCACATTGTAATTATCATAATTGGTGGAAAAATTKAATWATTTTTCAGTAGTRATTTACRRTAATTTGAAAATTATTGTATACAGGGTGAGCTATTAAAAATCGTTTGTAACATAATGTAGTAACGAGGGATCATTAGTGGATAATTGGCAACTCTCACTTTTATAAATGGCTACTTCTGGTTTGACCGGAAATGCGTAAAATGTAATTGTGATTATAATTTTGGCACATTTTCAAACAAGGTATTGAATAGATTCATAAAATTGGGCAAATTATTAAAAAGCGTTTAGATTTCTTATATTTCGCATTTTTTATATATCGGGTGGCCACAAATCATTGTTTAACAACACTACAACCGAATAGCCAAGATTGTAGGTTATGTTTCTATCTAAAATTTTATTGAATTTTGAAATGTCTAATGTGAATGTGTTGACAAGTTATGTCAGTTGTACCAGTAAAAAATAAAATTTACTATTGCCAACTTAAACAATTAATTTTTGATTATAAATTATAAATTTATCTACAGTTAGACACCAACCTAAATTTCATATCACCTAAAACTGTTTTTACATTATTCAATGTTGCCAACTTTTTTTAATCTCGTTTTAARGTCATTCAAGTTAATTATTTGAATTAAAAGTCAAATTCTGACATTTGTAAAATTCAGATATTTATCATAAATGAAAAAATCAGATACTAATTTTATGGTTTTTGGTCTTTCAGTTGTCATAATTATGCATTTAAAAATAAAATTCAGAATTGAAAACAAACAATTATTTTTGATCACTCGATATACAGTATGTTCCCGGATTGGATTTACAAGAGGAATTTTTTTTTATTTTTCATTTTACGCTAAAAGTGCAAAGGAAAAACATTTTTTGCAACTCAGTAGAAAAAAAAGGTCATTTTTCTCTTGATTTTGGATTTAAAATTATTTTTTTGACAATTATGTCACTTTGACAAATGAGTTTACGCAAGTTAAATAACGAAAATGTTTGTGAAAAACATAATTTTGATAAATAGCAACTCAAAGAAACAGCTTTAAGATAAAAAACAGTCATTTTTAACATGAACTATTATTATTTAATTAATACATTAATTGTCAAAGTGATATACAGGGTGCGCCAGAACTCACGCCTCAGAGAAAAATGCCATATGAGCTAAGATATTAGGAAATTTCAAAGTTATGAGAGTTTAAATTTTGCACTTTGACTTTATTTATTTCTGTTGGAAACATAATTTTTCAAAATTTTTTTGATACAGGTTATTAGAAGAGGAAACAAGGAAGCTGAATCCTAAATTCTAACTCTGTTTAATGTTGTTTGTGGCTTTTATTAGCAAAATTTCTGTACCTTTACTAAATAATTATAAAAAAAAACATATACAGATGACCAGGATCATTAAATAGACATAAAAAAATGTCAAATGTCAAAAAATTAATATCAAAATTTTTTGACAGATAGACTTTTAAACATTTTTCCCATGTTCCTGGTATCTTATATCACCTGAAATTTTTCTCCGGGGTGTAATATCTTACGCATCCTGTATAGTTATCAAATAAATAAAACCGTCAATATGATAGAACTTAAAAAGCATAGAAATTAAGAAAAAAAATTACTTTTCTTTTCATTGAATCAGAATAATGGAGTTTTAATTACAGATTTGCTCGTTTTAGGTGAAGCAAAAAATGTTTTTCCTTTGCAGTTTTGGTGTAAAATAAAAGATAAAAAATGTTTCCTCTTGTAAATTCAATCCGACGACATACTGTATAAAATGGTTAAATTTTAAGTAATCTGTGACTTTGAAATTAAGTTGGCAACATTTTTCAATGTTGCCAACTCAATTTTAAAATCACAAGCTACTTTGATCAGAAATTAGAAATTACAAGAAACAACATTGAAGATACGCAATTACGTGACGTAAAATAATTTTTTGTTTTGTTTGATGTCATTGTGAATATTTATAGAAGAAAGTACACAATACGTTGACTTTTTTCCACTTTTTGGATTATGTTATGTATGTTCTTTTATTTATACACAACATTTGCATAAATTCTACAACGAAATTACACTTTTTTGCTCGATTTCCACTATGTTTGATTATTTTTTTTATTGCAGAAACTTGAAAAATGTCGGCGAAGGCAATAAGAGAAGCGACTGGAAAAAATCTAATCAATAAACATTTATCAGGCGATACGGCTGCCGTGCAATGTCGCTTCGCTTCAGTCGATCCTGAAACGAAATTTTCCGAATTGGTAGCGACCAATCCATGGCTGAAAACTGAAAAGTTGGTCGTTAAACCTGACCAACTTATCAAAAGGCGAGGAAAATTGGGTACGAACGTAGCGAGTGTTGAAACTTTTTATAATATAGCATTATTCGTTTCAGGTTTAATCGCTGTAAATAAAGACTTGTCTGAAGTGCAACAATGGATCTCTGATCGTATGAATAAAGATCAAAAAATCGGTGCTGCCACYGGTAAACTTCGCAATTTTATTATCGAACCTTTTGTTCCTCATAAAGACAACGAAGAAGTCTACGTGTGTATCTATTCGCATCGTCATGCTGATACAATTTTGTTTTATCATCAAGGTGGCGTTGATATTGGTGATGTTGATTCGAAAGCTGTTAAATTGGAGGTTCCGGTCGGTGAAAGTGTTGATGAAAATCTCATAACGGAGAAATTGTTGAGTCAAGTTGATGGAAAAAAGAAGGCAATGATTGCGAAGTTTGTCAACAATTTATATAAGTTGTATGTTGATTTGTATTTTACTTATTTGGAAATTAATCCATTGGTGGTGACTGAAAAGGAGATTTTTGTTTTGGATTTGGCGGCGAAATTGGACGCAACAGCTGATTTTATTTGTAAACCGATGTGGGGCGAAATTGATTATCCACCACCGTTTGGACGCGATGCTTATCCAGGTGGGTGAGGGTTTTGGGCGCAGGCGGTAGGGAATTTTTTTGCAATTTTTTCAATGTTTTTTTGAACATTTTTTTTATAAATCGGTATTTGTATGTATTTAATTTTAGATTTTTGACTATTAATAGAGTTATGGTAGAGTTATGGGCGCAGTCGGCAGGGGATTTTTTTTTATAAATTTATTAACGTTTTTCATGAGCGTTTTTAAGCAAATTTTTATATATCAGAATCTGTATCTCTTTTCTTTTAGTTTTAGTGTTTTTTTTTTGACTAAAAAACAGTAAAAAAACTTTTTTGAGCGTAGTCGGTAAGAAAAAAATGTGTTTTTTTTTAAACAAATTTTGGTGATTTTAAAATTATTTCATACAAACAGAGTTCCTCATAACTGTAAGATCAGTGAAAAGAGGAGTTTTGGGCACAGTCGATAGGAAAAAAATACAAATTTTACAAAATTTATTAATCTTTTTAACGAGTTTTTATTATAAATCAGTATCTTCTATTTGTATTTAACTTTACATTTTTGACTAACAAACAGTGAAAACACTTTTTTGAGTGCAGTCGTTAGGAAAAAAAGACTTTTTTTAAAAAATTAAATTTGTGATTTTAAAATTATTTGATACATACAGAGTGTCTCATAATTTTGAGATTAGTGAATAGAGGGGTTATGGGTGCAGGTGTGGCAAGGAAATATTTTTTTTTGCAAATTTTACTAAATTTATTAATGTTTTTAACGAGTGTTTTTAAGCAAATTTTTATAAATCAGTATCTGCATGTATTGTGTTTTAGTTTTAGTGTTTTCTTGACTAAAAAAACAGTAAAAACCACTTTGTTGGGCGCACTCGGTAGGAAAAAAATTGTATTTTTTAAACAAGTTGGTGATTTTAAAATTATTTTATACATTCAGAGTGTTTCATAATTGTGGAATTAGTACAGAGAGGAGTTTTGGGCACAGTCGATGGGGAAAAAATAGAAATTTTACAAAAGTTATTAATCTTTTTAACGAGTTTTTATTATAAATCAGTATCTATTTGTATTTAACTTTACATTTTTGACTAACAAACAATGAAAACACTTTTTTGGGTGCAGGCGGTAGGAAAAAAAAGACATTTTTTTAAAAATTGAGTTTGTGATTTTAAAATTATTTGATACATACAGAGTGTCTTATAACTTTGGGATTAGCGAATAGAGGAGTTATGGGTGCAGGTGTGGCAAGGAAACATTTTTTTGCAAATTTTACAAAACTTATTAATGTTTTTAACGAGTGTTTTTAAGCAAATTTTTATAAATCAGTATCTGCATGTGTTTTGTTTTTATTTTAGTGTTTTTTTTTTGCCTAAAAAAAAACAGTAAAAAACACTTTGTTGGGCGCACTCGGTAGGAAAAAAATTGTATTTTTTAAACAAGTTGGTGATTTTAAAATTATTTCATACATTCTGAGTGTCTCATAACTGTGGGATTAGTGAAGAGAKGAGTTTTGGGCACAGTCGATGGGGAGAAAATACAAATTTTACAAAATTCATTAATATTTTTAACGAGTTTTTATTATAAATCAGTATCTGTATGTATTTAACTTTACCTTTTTGACAACAAACAATGAAAACAAACAATTTGGGGTGCAGTCGGTAGGAAAACAAATTTTTTTTTATGAAGTTTGTTATTTTAAAATTATTTGATACATACAGTGTCTTATAACTTTGGGATTAGTGAAGAAACGTTATGCGTGCAGTCGGCAGGGGATTTTTTTTGCAAATTTTACAAAATATATTAATGTGTTTAACGAGCGTTTTTAAGCACATTTTTTTTAAATCAGTATCTGCATGTATTTTGTTTTGGTTTTAGTGTTTTTTGACTAAAAAAATATGAAAAACCATTTTGTTGGGACGCAATCGACAGGATTTTTTTTTTAAATAAGTTCGTTATTTTAAAATGATATCATACATACAGAGTAAGATTAGTGAAAAGAGGAGTTTTGGACACAGTCGATAAGGAAAAAAATAAAAATTGTACAAAATTGATTAATGTTTTTAACGAATATTTATTATAAATCAGTATCTATATGTATTTAGCTTTATCTTTTTGATTAACAAACACTGTAAACACTTTTTTGGGTGCAGTCGGTAGGAAAATTTTTTTTTTTAATTAAGATTGTGATTTTAAAATTATTTGATACATACAGAGTGTTCTTTGGGATTAGTAAATAGAGGGGTTATGGGTGCAGTCGGCAGGGGAAAAATGATAAATTTTACAAAATTCATCAATGTTTTTAACGAATTTGTATTATAAATCGGTATCTGTTTGTGTAACAAACAATGAAAACACTTTTTTCGGCGCAGTCGGTAGGAAAAAAATCAATGTTTAAGCTAAAAGAATTATGCAAAATAGGCGAAAAAATTTATCACGTTATAACTGAATCTTTTTAATACTCGCAATTGTAACAATACCACATATATTATTCCGATATTGTGTCACTGGACAAGAAAATTACTTTTATGAATTCTATTGTGTCACTAAAAATTGTTTTGAATTAAACATGATTTTAAGTGGATTTGTTTGTTCGTAATTTTTTTTCTTTCATTACATGATAAAGAATTGATCCGTATCGGCGCTTATATTTTTATTGTTTTAATTAATTGAAGATTTATATTGATCAACATTGTTACTATGGATAATAAATGATAAGTGTAATCAATATTTATCGACCTTGAATTATAAATAATTAGAAATAATACAGAGTGTCTTATTTTTATAGAGGAGGCTTACATCGCAGACCTCGATTCGAAATCCGGTGCTAGTCTAAAACTCACCATCTTGAACAAATCTGGTCGTATTTGGACAATGGTAGCTGGGGGCGGAGCCTCAGTAATCTACAGTGACACAATTTGCGATCTAGGGGGCGCTAAAGAGCTTGCAAATTACGGTGAATATTCAGGCGCACCCTCCGAACAACAAACCTACGAATATGCCAAAACAATTCTCTCTCTTATGACACAAGAAAAACACCCCCAAGGTAAAGTCCTGATTACTGGGGGCGGTATTGCGAATTTTACAAATGTCGCTGCGACTTTTCGCGGTATTATCACCGCATTGGTTGAGTTTCAACAACGTTTAATCGAACACAAAGTCTCGATTTTCGTACGAAGAGCCGGACCGAATTATCAAGAAGGCTTGAGAAGGATGAGAGAAGTTGGACAGACTTTGGGGATTCCCTTGTATGTTTTTGGACCGGAAACCCACATGACGGCCATTTGTGGTATGGCGCTTGGTACACGACCTATACCACAGGAAAATAATGTTGAATTTGCCACGGCGAATTTTTTGTTACCAAGTGGTGAAAAAGAACCAAATAAGAAGAGTTTAGGGGTGGATAATATTGATGCTGCCACCACCACCGCCGCTGCCTGTAGTAGGAAAATACAAGTAAGTTTTTTGGTGTTTTCTTGTCTGTGGTGTTTTGTTTCTGTCCTATTGGTGGTTTGGTTGACACTTTTAACTTTTTTTCTATTGATTGCTTAGAGGGGATGATGTAATTTCTTTAGTTTTGTAAATATTTACCAACGAGTTTTTACTTAAATTTTGTGATAAGGCAGGCGTGTTTGTTATCGTTTTTGGTTCAAATGTGAATGAGCATGGTGATAAAAACGTTGCGCAATAAGAGATAATTTTGAAAACAGTTTTTTTTTTTTAATTAATACGGTATTTTTATTATATTTATTTTTCTAATCATATTAGTTGAGAAAATTGAAAATTGTGAGGAAAATTGAAATAAAAATGGTATATGGGTATATACCTATAAAATGATATATTACAGTCATTATTTAAGATTAGAAAAAGTATAGTATTAAACTCGCGAGAAATGGCCATTTCCATGAATTATTCTCCTCGCCATTGGCTCGTATCGTTTTTATCTTCATGGCCATGACCAACTTTCTCACTCATTGAATAATATACTATTAGTGGTTTATACAGGTGTCCCAGCGAGTTGAAAAAGTTGAAAATGTGCATTAGTGACCTTTAAATGGTAAAATTAAAAAAAATTATACAGGTGCGCCAGAAATCGCGCCCCAGAGAAAAAAAATTTTCTATAAAAATTTCGAAGTTATGAGGGTTTAAAGTTTGTACTTTGACTCTATTTATTTCTGTTGGAAAAATAATTTTCCAAGTTTTTTTGCTATAGGCTATTAAAAGAGGAAACAAGGAAGCTGTATCCTAAATTGTAACTCTGTTCAATGTTATTTGTGGCTTTTATTATCAAAATTTTTGTCCCTTTACTAAATAATTGTAAAAAAGCATATACAAGATCATCAGTATCATTAAATAGATATAAAAAAATGTCAAATGTCAAAAAATAAATGTCAAAATTTTTTGACAGAATTTTTTAAACATTTTTTTCATATTTCTGGTATCTTACCTTACTTGAAAATTTTCTTTGGGGCGCGAGTTCTGGCGCACCCTGTATAGGACATTGATAGATACTAATCTAGTTCATCGCCTAAAATTATTTTCAACTATACAGCGTGTCTCATAAATAACTTACAATACAAACTTGTGTTTTTTTAAATGAAACATCATATGCTTCTTAGCGTTTTTGGATGTAGATTTTTATGAAAATATTTTTAAGCTAAACTTTTATTGGTCGATTTTGCTTAGTTTTAAAAATAAGACGCTTTTTTTGACGAAAACATGCACTTTTTAAAAATTTATTACACAAAAACTAATGTATCCACAAATATTTTTTTTACTACCGTAAAGAAGAAGGTGCAAGCTATAAGGTTCTAACATTTTTTTAGTGTGTTGCATTTGCAAAGATAAAAAATTAAGGCGTTTGTTTAAAGTTCAATAACTTAAAAAATTTTAATGGAACACCCTATTTACTGTTTTGGCATTTAAAAGATTATTAAATTGTCTTTCTAAATTTATTTACTTTTAGATGTTTATAATCAATAACTAAAAAGATATTTAACGTTAAACATTAAAAAAAAAATTACTATTGTTTCAGTAGCCAGTGCACAGTTGCACAAGAGATGGAAGAAATATCACTTAATAATCACATTTGTGTTAAACTGAATCCATTATTCTTTGATTTTATAATAAAATAATTCAAATTTCAGTCTTTATAACGACTTTTACAATCTCTGGATAAATCAATTTTTTATGTTATTTAACTTTTAACAAACTTTTTAATTTATTAATCTTTACAAATGCAAAACACTAAAAAATTGCTACAGCTTTAAATTCTAAACAATTTTTTTAAATTTCACCATTAAAGGTCGCTTTTGGACTTTTTAAACTCGCTGGGACACCCTGTAATGTGCAAATAAAATTTTGAAACAGTCGATTTTATTTAGTACCTTTGTACCATACAGGGTGATTAAAAAAAAAGTGCAAGAATTCGTTGGGATTGTATTTCTTTTATTTCAAGCCTACTAGCTTTACTCACAATCCACTTCTTCACTGCACATTTTAACACAACAAACTTCGCTTTTTACGTAATAAAATTGTGTCTCTAACGATCGAAATAAATGTTAAAGGATGTCACACCAAACCAAGTAGTGCACGTAGAAATTCCACAGAAATACAAGGTAAATTTTATGGCCTTCTTTAGACAGTAACCGGTTACTTAATGTGTGTCAATTGTCTAAAGGGTGATTCACTGGGAGTCCAAACTCCCATGTTTACCAACAAAACGAAATCGATCGTTTGGGGCATGCAAACACGAGCCGTACAAAGTATGCTTGATTTCGACTTCGTGTGTAGTCGGGCCGAACCGAGTGTTGTCGCTATTATCTATCCGTTTACGGGGGATCACAAACAGAAATTCTACTGGGGACATAAGGAAATACTAATTCCAGGTAATTTACCCAAAAAATTAACAATACACAAATCAAGTTAATTATTTTATTAGTTTATAAAAAAATGAACGACGCTATGACGAAACATCCCGAAGCTGATGTACTTGTCAATTTCGCATCGCTTCGTTCCGCCTATCAAAGCACCGTGGAAACAATGGAATTCCCCCAAATCCGAACCATTGCGATTATTGCCGAAGGAATCCCCGAGAATCAAACACGCAAATTAATCAAATTAGCCAATGAGAAGAAAGTTGCAATTATTGGACCGGCTACAGTGGGCGGAGTCAAACCCGGKTGTTTTAAAATTGGCAACACTGGTGGAATGATGGATAATATCCTACATTCGAAATTGTACCGCCCAGGAAGTGTGGCTTATGTTTCAAGGTCAGGTGGGATGTCCAATGAGCTCAATAATATCGTATCGAAGGCTACGGATGGTGTGTAYGAAGGCGTGGCCATAGGCGGGGATAGATATCCAGGGACCACCTTCATGGATCATATAATGCGTTACCAAGCCGACGATAATGTCAAAATGATTATTTTATTGGGCGAAGTGGGCGGAGTCGAAGAATATGAAGTGTGTAACGCCCTTAAGAATAAAATTATAACGAAACCATTAGTGGCCTGGTGTATTGGTAAGTGTTTAATTAATTKTATAATTAAATAATTAATTAATTGTAATTATAGGGACATGTGCTGGGATGTTTACATCAGAAGTCCAATTTGGACAYGCCGGTTCTTGTGCCAACTCGAATCAAGAAACGGCAACGTCGAAAAACGAAGCCTTGAAGTCAGCCGGTGCCCATGTCCCGGCCTCCTTTGATTACCTCGGCGAGGTAATTCAAGAAGTCTACGAAAAGTTGGTATTACAGGGAGTGATAATCCCGCGTGCGGAAGTACCGCCACCTACCGTCCCAATGGACTACTCATGGGCTCGAGAATTGGGTTTGATTCGCAAACCGGCCAGTTTTATGACATCAATTTGCGACGAACGCGGTCAAGAATTGATTTATGCAGGGATGCCAATCTCTGATGTTTTACAAAAGAATGTTGGTATCGGTGGGGTGATTTCCCTGTTGTGGTTCCAGCGATGTTTGCCAACCTACGTTTGCAAATTTTTCGAAATGTGTCTTATGGTGACGGCCGATCATGGGCCTGCGGTCTCCGGGGCCCATAATACCATCGTTTGTGCCCGTGCTGGTAAAGATTTGGTCTCGAGTCTTGTCTCAGGGTTGTTGACAATTGGGGATCGGTTCGGAGGGGCGCTAGATGGCGCAGCGAAGCAGTTTAGTGAGGCGTATGACACTGGGATGCATCCAGCGGAGTTTGTTAATCATATGAGGAATAAAGGGCAGTTGATTATGGGGATTGGGCATMGAGTCAAGTCGATTAATAATCCGGATCAGAGAGTGAAAATTGTCAAGGAGTTTGTGATGCAAAACTTCCCGGCGACTCCGCTGTTGTTGTATGCGCTGGAAGTTGAGAAAATYACAACGAGTAAAAAGCCCAACTTGATTTTGAACGTGGATGGGGTGATTGCGTGCTCGTTTGTGGATATGTTGAGGAATTGTGGCAGTTTTACAAGGTTTTATTAATTTTTTTAGTGATTTGTTAATTGTTTTGTTTTTTTTCTAGTGAGGAAGCTCAGGAGTATATCAATATCGGTGCGATTAACTCTCTGTTCGTTCTGGGGCGTTCGATAGGGTTCATTGGACATTTCATGGATCAGAAGAGGTTGAAACAAGGGTTGTATAGACATCCATGGGATGATATTTCCTACGTACTTCCAGAGCAATAYAACAATTAAGTTAAGTTGGTTCAAATTTTTATYAATTGATGGTTTAGTCTACGTGAAGTTTTGTGTTTGTCTCATTCATTTTGACTCTAAAATATTTTCCTTAATTTATTAATGGATATTTATATTTTTATATTTATATTAAGATGTTTCATGTGATTTCACAATTAGGTAAGAGATGTGTCTTATGTACTATCAGAAATAAAGTTACTATAGATCGATACAGAGTTTTATTAAAAAAAAATAATAAAAACTACATTTATTTTTGTCATGTTGGTGCGACTACTTTTTCTGAGTGTCAAACATCAACATAACCCAAATAATAAATTATTTCGAATAAATTGTCAATTTGAAGAAAATAGGGTGCAAAGTGACGCGAATGCATTGGCTAAGCATTTTTCTTAATTTTATCACTTTCAATAAACATTCACCATGTGTACCAATCGACAAGAACAAAACTCACTATTGTACCAAGACAACTTTGATAACACAATTATGTCAGGTATTAAAATTTTAAGACGCAAATTATTGTTTCTACGGCCGTAGACAAGTTGAGGCTTTTATTATATTTTAATAATTTTACATTTTTTAACTTTTGTAAGCAAAAATCGAATTTAGTGTGGCAGCACTGTGCTGAATTGAGCTAACTTCGCATGCGTGATGTTACACGTGTAGTTTCAAATTTTGTGATTTTTCTTTACTGTAACTAATGTAAGTTGTAAGTTTTCATTAATCTGCGTGATTTGATTTAGTTTTGCAACCGCGAAAGAGTGTTTTCCCCAAGTGACAATTTCGTTSTCGTTTAAWGTGTTTTTCTTCATAAAAGGTACGAAATTTGTGAAATTATACCRAAMATTATCTTAAAGGACACTAGTGTGCCCCTGTTTTAGTATTTTGTGTAAAATTTGATTAATTATTCGATGATTCTTAGTTGATCTAGTAGCCTTCTTTGAAAAGTTCATGCAACTGCGCATGCGTGGTAATTTTCTTATGGTGTGCTTCTGGTGTCCGTTTTTTTCTAAATTTCGGTAAAACTCGGCCAAATTTAACGTAAATAGTGATTTTTTCCTCAATTTTCGTTGTTTAGTTTAGTGTTAAAACAACGTGAAAGTGTGATTCCCCCCACTAACAACTACCCATTTCAAGTGGTCTTGGTCATAAAAGGTAAGAAATTTGCGAAATTATACCGAAAATAGGCTTCAGGGACATTAGCGTACTTCTATCTTAGTATTTTATGTAAACTTTAAAAATTATTCGTTGATTTTTAAGTCGGAAAAAGCTGATCTAGAATCAACCAATCAGCGTCCAGAATTTCAAGCAACTGCGCATGCGTGAAAAATTCTTAGTTTTCCTAGTTTTGTGTTCTTCTTAATTTTCGTTATTTATTAAGGTTTCTGGTAATCAGACAATCTGTGATTTCGTTGTTAACACCATGAAAGTGTAAAGTGTGATTTCCCCAACCAACAATTTCGTTCCTGTTTGAAGTGTTTTTATTGATAAAAGGTAAGAAATTTGTGAAATTTTCCAAAAATTGCTTCATTCTGGCATAAGTGCCGTTAAGGTGTTTCAATTTCGATGTTTTTTGTAACATTTGATAATTTTTGGTTATTTTCGCCCAGTGGCGTAGCATGCACATGGTAACTGGATCAGTTGACAGAATCGATTGTTTTACGCCAACTATAATTTGATTAGATTTAATTTAAGTCACATAACCTAAAATCTGAGGGATTTTTTGTGTTTGCAGTATGGAAAGCCACCAAACCAAACCTCTCTACTCGTGTGAGGCTCTTCATTCAATAATTTCAAACCTACGGGCGACACCAAAAGACTACATGATCCGAACCTATTTCCACATTAAAAACATAACCTCAGGCCCGGAATACGACAAATACAAGCACCGTTTAAACAACGTCATTTTTAACAACTTGTTTAATATTGTCACAGAATTAACCGTTTCGATTTATTTCCCAAAATGTCAACAATTAGTCTACAGCGACTTGGGCACAATTCGATTCTTGTCTTGCATATACCCCAACACTATCACTAGTGGTTTTTACCCGGTTTTTGTCCAATACTTTGATCGCAAAGAGGGAATCAAACACCGACTTTTGGACTACACAAGTCGTGTGTCCGAAGTCGCCTCGATTTTGGTGTACTTTGGTGTTATTGGACAAATTGTGGGCTATTGTGGCGATTATTGTTACCGAGATTCGGTCAATTCTACGTCAAGTGACCATTTCCAAAGTCTCAAGATTTTGACCCGAGGAAATATTATGGACCTGCCCTATTCGGATAATTTCCTTTCAACATTGATGGGTTTTTTGGTCGATTATTTGCCGGAGAATGTGATCCTTGCCTTGGACAAGTTGGGTGATGTTTTTGTGAATAATAGTGGTAACTCGCAAATAGCCCGCGAGTTGGTTTCCGAGTACAAGAAGTGGAAGCGAAGCAATGAACATGTCTTGTTGAGTAGTTACACGAATTTTGTGATTGAACATTTGGTGGCTCTTAATGCCTATTTGGAACGGTTCAAATGTTTGCCATATTCGGTGGGTTGTCTGTTCTCGTCGGTCTTGAACCGGTTTATGCTTGTTTTTACCACTGACATTTACAAAGAGATTGATAAGATTAAAATGAGTGATAATTGTGCAGTAATCTACTATTTCCACTTGGTGAGAATCCGAGATTTGTTCAAATGTTATGAGGATTTGGGGTATATACCACTCCGAGCTCGCAACTTCTTGGACTCAGAAATAAACTATTTGGTTACAAGTCAAGTGGTTGATCTTGCTAAAGACGATAAAAGTCTTGAAAAACTCCAAAAAGAGATTACAGTGATTGTTGATTTATTCTACACAAGAGCTAAAATCTACATTGAGACTCTTCTCCTACAATTCCCGAATTTTGACACCTTTGATTGGATTCTCTTTCCAGTCGACTATAGCAAAGTCCATAAAACTTTCCATTTGTTAAAAGAAACGGAAAGGAATTGTCAAACTTGCCATCAACTGTATCTAGAAGTAAAAAATCTCGATTCGCTTATTCGCAAGTTACCACTAGATGAAATTGAAAGTGTGGTTGAAAAGTGGTTATTGGTCTTGAAAGAGTGTGAATTTCCTATAATTGGAGAATTGTTGGAGTATTTATTGTCGCTCCCGGCCTCCTATAAGGTGATGGAAGATTTGGAGGCTTGGAAATCGGATGAGTGTGCGAAAAAAGTCGTCAAAATGACTGTCGATTGTCTCACACTCGACGAAATTGAGGAGGTTTTTGAGGATTATTATTGGGAAGACGCAACCAATATTATCAAGAGACTACAAATTCCAGCTCTTGAGGATTAGTTACCACTATTTTTTTTTTGTTATTACGAAACTGTTTCTATTTCTTTTTGTTTTATTTTCTATAAATTTGTAGTATTTTGAATTTAATAAAAAAAATATAAGAAGCTTAATTTTTGACAAAACTTTGGTTTTATCTTTCGCAATAATAGAGAGTTG